GCTTCATGAACTTGGTGTAGTTTGGTATTACATCCAAGGCTTCTGCAAAAGGGATGTTGATTCGAATGTGTTTGATCTTTTCGATGAATTTCTTCAATTGATCCTTGAACTTCTTCTTCTTCTGTCTTTCTGGAAAATGAATAGGAGTTATCATAAGAGGAGGATTATCAGGAAAAGAAATGTTGTTGGGCTTACTAGCCTCTTTTGTACCACTCCCTGAAATTGTGATTTCCGGCTCGACCGGGGTCGGTTGTACAGCAGGCCTTGGTGACTCGTCTGTCGGATAAGGAGGATCGGTCATTTGCAAACCACTTCGGGTGGTTATGGCTTGACAGCTTTCTTTTGGATTGACTTCGGTATTGCTCGGAAATCCACCCTTGGCCATCGTGGACATGGATTGGGCGATTTGCCCTATTTGCTTTTCCATGTTCTTTATTGTTGATTTCAGGCCCTCCATTTCCCATTCTTGTCGGTGAAGACGCTCGTCAAACGTCGGCCCTCGCTGCTGTCTTTGAGGGTTGAAATCGGAAGGTGGTTGTAGAGCATTCTTTGGATTGGCGTAGGAGAAGTTCTCGTGATTCCGAATTCCCGGGTGGTAATGAGTAGGGTTTTGGTTCTGATTGTTGGTTCCCCGGAAATTGTTGAATCGGTGGTTCATAAAGTGTGTCTGCTCCCAATCGTCGTTTGTGGCTTGCGAAGTACTTGCTGCTGCTACTCGTTCGGTATGTGGCCCTCGAACTGATAGTTGGGCAACCTGATTTGATAGGGTTGCTAACTGTGCTGAAACCGCGGCTTAAGGATCGAGTTGGTCGACTCCGGCCACCTTTTGTATACCACTTCGTTCGGACGGCTAGTGGTAAGCATTCTCACACATTCGCTCGACAATGTCTCGAGCGTCTGTGGGAGTCTTGTTTTGCAATGATCCACCTGAGGCAGCATCGACTAAAGATCGGGCTGGTTGATCGAGCCCATTGTAGAATAACTCCATTTGATCCCACGGGTTGAATCCGTGCTGAGGGCATTGTCGTAATAAGTCCTTGAATCTCTCCCAAGACTCGTGCATCAGCTCTTGGCTCATCTGTCTGAAGTTGCCTACATCTCTTCGTAGTTGTGTGGTCTTCGAGGGTGGAAAGAATCATGCCAGAAAGGCTTGTGATAATTCTTCCCAACAGGTGAGTGATCCTGGATTAAGACTCAGAAGCCAACTCTTCGCTTTGTCTCTGACAGAAAATGAGAATAGCTTCAACCGAATGGCATCATCAGAAACACCGTTAACTTTGATTGTGTCACAAATCTCCAAGAAATTGGCAAGATGGAGATTTGGATCTGTAGTGGCTGCTCCGGAGAATTGGTTTGCCATGACCATGTTGATTAGCCCCGTCTTTAGCTTGATACGCGTTTTCCTCACGTATAAATTACCGCAAGTATACAGTATCGCATTTTGCAGAACAGTGGTTCCGGATATCGATCCACAGGGATCTTGTAGATTCACATGCTGAGTAGTGTAATTATATTATCGTTATATTATCTAGCCGATTGTAAATATTTGGAATGGTGAGAAACCCTAATTTAAAATCATGCAAGATTGTAAACATGCAAATATAGAATGTACGTAAATAAGTAACGACAACTCAACGCGGGGGGACTTCGATTTAAAGGGGACTTCTAGGGCCAAATCCACCTATGTATAATCAACAACGATCTACAAATCCGTTATCTAATGCCACATTCCTATTCGTTAACCCAGACGCTAATGTACTCTAACCCCTGTCTCCAGTGTAGTTAGAGTCTACCCACAGGTCCGACGTCTCCGTTCAGAACCTGCTATTAAGAGAGCATTTAGGTCAAGTCCTTAAGGGCTACCCGAAGTGCATCACGTCTCCGTTTCCACACCCCGAGCTATGTTTTCCTAACTTCAAACAAGAAATCCTCTCTCGAGTTAATTCATATTTAATATCAATCCGAGAGAGCTGATCAAACAATCAGAATCATTTAATACAGGAAAACATAAACGAAATCGAAACACGACAAAAAGATAACAGAAATGACGATCGAAATCAATATATACAAGGCTTCATTACCCTAGAAGAAAATGTTCTTAGTTCATAACAAACATAATGTCAAAAGAATGTACAAAGGAAATGAAGAACAAAACGTAAAGAAATTGCGTAAGAAAAACCCAAGTCGAAACCCCCGTTGATGATTCCCGTGAAGAACTGTCGAAAACCGTAAAAAGTCGAAGAAGGAATGAAGAATGAAAGGGCCTTTCTATTTATAGTGAAATGCAAAGCTTCCTCAAGAAGCTTTGCAAAACAAAATATCTTTCTCAAAAGGCGTGCCCAGATCGCGATTTGGGTTGTTTGGATCGCGATCTGGCAGCCTCGGGGAACTGCCCACCGCCATGCAAGATCGCGATCCAGAAATGTGTATCGCGATCTGGGTCTTCAACATTTCAGCACTGTAAGACCCCCCCAGATCGCGATACGGATTGCTGGATCGCGATCTGGATCTTCAACATTTCAGCACTCTAAACACCCCCCAGATCGCGATACGGATTGCTGGATCGCGATCTAGATCTTCAACATTTCAGCACTGTAAACACCCCCAGATCGCGATACGGAATGTCAGATCGCGATCTGGGTCTTGATCCATTTTCGTTCTGTGACAACCCCCAGATCGCGATCCGGAGATGTCAGATCGCGATCTGGGTCTTCTTGGCCCCAAAATTGGCTTGAAAATTCGGTTTCGCTTTCAAATGGCTTCGACTCGGCAAAAATACCTAATAAAACCCTGAAATAGAAATAAAACAAGAAACGCAATAATATATACAAATAAAGCCAAAACTCGAAGATTTGATAAGCAAAAATCGTGCAAAACGAACACTTATCAATAATCATCAGGTAACTATTTAGCATTTATTGCTGAAGAAACTTACGCAAATTTGCTCGTTAATATAATGGATTTGAAATACTTACAACAACAAGCTATATTGGCACCTAAAAAAAAAGTTGTTGAGAAGGTTAACGATTACATGTTGTCTTTGGTTCCAGAAGATGAAAGAGTTTGTCTTAGTTTCGATAGTCCCTGTATGGCGAATGAGAGTGTCGACTCACATCATGACATTCATACTCCAAAGTTTTTGAATACTATTACATCTTAAGGTCTGCCAAACCATGAATTAAAGCTGAAGACAGGTGTTCACGTTATGTTGTTGAGAAATATAGACCAGCCCAATGAGTTGTGTAATGCTACAAGATTGACCATTACTCGGTTGGGAAATCGCGTTCTGGAAGCAAAAATAATATCACGCTCTAATGTCGGACATAAGGTCTTCATTCCAAGATTGTCGTTAACACCGTCAGACAGTAGAATTTCGTTTCACTTTCAGATGAGGCAATTTCCCATTGTTCTTTCCTTCGTTATGACAATAAATAAATTCCAAGGTCAATATCTCCAAAATGATGGTCTATATCTTGAAAAGCATGTTTTCTATCACGGATAACTATACGTAGCTATTTCGAGGGTTACCAGTCGCTATTGTTTGAAGATACTTATGCTGACAAAGAATGAAATACTTTAAAAAATACAACAAACGTTGTTTATAAAGAAGTATTTCAAAATTTAAGGTAATTTTTTATTTACAGTTTTTCATATTACTTGTTATGTAAGCCTATATTCAATTATGCATAATGTGTTCTTATTGTTTTGCAGAGTGAGACGATGCAATATCATTGAATGAATGTATTGCCTCTCAGTTCGAATTATCACACAATATCAAAGGTTATTGTTTTCCGAAAATTTGTTTAGTATTTTTCCTTCTTTTCAATATTTTTTTGTGTTATTTGAACTCATATATGATGGTAATGGGAATTGTTAACCTGCAATAATGTCTTGGGTATCTCATACCTGTGAAGTGCATGCATTTCTGAGCAGTTAAAGTGAGATTTTTAAGTGTTTTTTTATTATAGATTTTTAAGTGTAAGAAGCAGCAAATGTGCATTTTATTTGTGATAATTTGTAGTTTATTACTTCGAGTTAATAATTGTGTTGTTGTTGTATGATTTCATTGAAATATGTAACCCTGTGCAATGCACGGCTTCGATTACTAGTTTTTATACATAAAGTACGAAACACTATGGCAATCTAAAAAATCATAATGGCATATTTGTAATTTGTTGGGAAAAAAATTCATCTCCTATTTCCCACTCATATTTTACTTTCATAGCAAATGAGATTTGCAAACCGGCTGACAAAATCCGAATCTACTTGGATAGTTTTATTTTTTCATTTCCTTTTAAGTTTTGCAATTTATTTGTAAATCTTTCTGTTTTACACACACCGATGTGAATTGTTTTTATTAAAATTATCGAGAAGAGTAAAGCAAAATATCTCTAGCTCACACACACACCAATGTGATTTTTTTTTAATTTAATTCTTTTGTACTACCTAATTTAACATTTTTAATGTTATTTTGGTAATTTAAATTTTACAACTAAATATTTTAATATTATGTGATTTAATTTTTTTAATAAAATTTAATTACTATATATTTAAATTATATTCCATTTTGCAATGCTACCCGTGAGAATTGCTAGTAATATTTAAACAAAACGTGCAAATACACAAACGGATTCATTTTAATATTGATTAATTAAATAGTGAAAAAAGTAGTTGTACCAATTTTGATTGGATTTAAGAAACAAGAATTCTTCAAAAAAATAAATAATAAAAATGTAAAAGTAAAACATTGTATATTTGAATACAGCTAACCCAACCGTGCAAATTGCGGCACTCTCGTATACTTTTTCAAACAGTCAAAAAAGTCATTTTCGAAGAGCACTCGAAACTCACATGAAATATCATCGAAACAACCCATGCAAATGCAAACTAAACAACATCCTCTTCTCCTATACACACACACACACACATATATATATATATATATATATATATATACCTATACAATAGTTATTAAATCACACCCAAAACACACACACACACACACATGGATCCAAAGATGAAACACAAACACAAACAATATTGTTCCGACAGGGCAAAGGCGGCGGCGGCCTGCAAAAGGCACCCGAAACACAGGCAATCGGCCGGAGTTTGCTCCATTTGTCTAAATGAAAAGCTCTTAAAATTAAGCAATAATAATAATAAGAAAGTTTTTTCCAAAGTAGTGGCAAATTACTACTCTCGATCTTCTTCTTCGGATCTTTCTACTTTGTCTTCTTCGAACGAATCTTCATATTCGTCTCCCGTAAAGAATAACCGTGTGGAATTTTATGAAGCCGGAAAATCGAAGAGGGTTTTCAAGAATATTGAAGTTCTCAAAAAGAGTAGGTCAATGGCTTTTTTCTTTCAACGAAGAAAAGACGACGATGAGAATTACGAGAAGAAAGTTGAAATGAAAAGAGGGTTTTGGTCGAAATTGTTTATGTTGCCACGAAGAAACGTGAAGTTGACGCGCTCTAAAACTACGAGAGAAAGGGTTATTACAACAGCTTATTGATGGTGATAATTTGTGTATAGGTTTTTCCCATGGAGCTATGTAGGGTTTTTTTTTTTTTTTTGGCTAGATTTATAATCATTTCTTAATTTGTTTTGTTATGATCATAAATATATATTGGTGATATATGAAAAAACAAATTTTTTTTTTTTTTAACAGAAAAAACCAACAACTTCATTAGTACTTCAAAATCACGGAGCCATAACAACGTTTAGACTTACATATAACAAAAACCGAATAATGATCTTTAGATACAACGGGGTTCGAAAACGCCACATTACCATCAAAACATATTTCTTCATTAGTCTTAAGAGAAGTTCCTTTCTTAGCCAAAATATCAGCAACCCCATTCAGCTCCTTGTAGCAAAAGTTTAATCTTGTATTATCAAATTCGTCGATGAGAATCCAAGCGTCCTTGAAAAGCTTCATAAAAAACCCAAATTTTTCTTTCAACTGTAGACGTAGATTAAATCGATTTTTTTTTTTTTTTTTTTTTTTTTTGACATATAAATCAATTTTTTTTTAATGTATTTTTCATCTTTTCAATTTATGGTACTTTAGCCTCTAATTTCCCTTGTTTTGGAAGAATACATACACATACATAATCAAAATACATAAAAAAAAAATCATTCAATTACTTTTTATGTTTAGCATTTTCATAAATTTGATTAAAGAAAATTATTTTTTACTAAAAATTCAAAGCCTCACGTTGAAAAATTTAATATAATCAAAATACAAGTTCTTGGAAATTGATGTCAATGTGCATGGTTGATTAGGTCAATAAGAAACTATACAATAATTAAAGAATTTCTAATTGGGTCTATGAAATGATTAGTCAAAAGGTTTGACCATGGAATATTGGGATACATATTTCACACCATCAAATTTGAATTTTTTGTAATAAAAAGCTTTTTTCCTTAAAGTTAAAGCTTCACGGGAGGTTTTGTAGTCGAAATATATAATTTAAAAAAAATAATATATATGGGTTAATATGGGTAAATTACACCGATACCTCTGAGGTATGTTAAAATAACTTTGAGGTCCATGTGGTATCGATAATTACACTCACCCCATGAAACATAGTTAGAAACTCTAATGGAATAATGCGTTAGATACGTTATTCCGATAAAGTTCGAACGGACTATTAGTTTCAGGAAGTGGTGGAAACAACAAAGAACTATGGGTGATTTGAGAAACGTATCTCCACCACTAGCTAAAGTAATTAATCTATTAGAACTCTATCAGAATAACATATCCAATGTATCGATACCACAAGAACCTTAAAGTTATTTTAACATACCTTAGAGGTGTGAGTGTAATTTACCCAAAAAAAAAAAAACCGACGAGTAGTCATTTTTTTAAAACGAATTGTTCGAAACGGTGACGAACTTTAAATATGATGAGAAAAATAGAGTTAGAGAGAAAATTATATAGACAAAGACTACTTGACCGGAAAGAAGAGAAAGTACTATTATATGAGAAAATAGGCCGGGTCTACTTGTTTGACATTTCAAAAATTGTGTCGCACCAATTTGAATCCGAATGGATTATGGGTAAGATCCATGGGTCATTTGGTAGACTCGCTTCCAAATGGTTTCGTCCCAAAAATTGGAAAAATTACAATTCACCTTTTAAATTTGCACCGATTTCAAATTTTTTCCCTCATGTTTATATAAAAAAAAAAATTTAGTTGCTCATATTTCAATAATTTACTATTTTTTGTCATTTTCGTGAATTTATCGTTAGTCCGTCAGTACGAGAGTGATGGGCACAAAATGTGTTTGTTTCTGAACATTAGGAAAAAAATATAAAATCGGTGCAAATTTAAGCGATGAAAATTCAAAGCCTTAATCGAAATTCGATCTGATCGGATCCGAACCTCACATAATCTAGATATGTGCCCTCCAAAGCTTGGGTGCCCCAAGAGCCAAGACATAAAGGCTCAAGATTGAGCTATTTATTTAGCTCGTTATTACTCATTCAGCATCGGCTTTCTCGTGTTTCGAATATTGCACTTTGGACTAACATTTTTCATTCATACCATAAATTGATTCTAAACATGTAGAAAATGATCTTCATATCTATTCATTATACAGATTCCATTAATCCAAAGTATTTCTCCCTTTACACAATATACCATACAATTTATTGTTCGTTTAAAGTTGTTCATAACTCTACAAAATCAATTTTAGACATGAGTGGGCGGTTACGTAGTATTATTTCCTTTTTAAACGAAAAAATGCATTAAACGAAAGAGGAAGAAGAAAAATCGAGAAAACGAAAAAAAGCTTTAATACTAATAAAATAAAGAAATAATAAATTACGAAAAACAATTAGCACCAACAAAGAAGTACAGAAGCTCCTTCTCCATTTCATTGCCTTCAAAAACATCCCCAAAATGCTAATATTATGTAAGTACAAAACCCGCACACACCGCAAAACTAAATATACGAGACCACGAAACGCATACATGGTGGTCTTAAAAGATGAATTAATCCAGCAATTACAGCAGCATCGTTATCCGTATATGATTCAGAACGGTCTTAGGGAAGGTAGATAGATAGATACACACATGGTATATATGTATCCATACACTATATATAAGCAACAGCTCTTCAATTCGATTTCTCGGATGAATCTTGTTGACGGGAATGCCAAGCATTAGAGTAAGCTGAAACGGCTGATCCTGTTATGGAAAACGAATGCTTTGCGAGCCCTACGCTTTTGTTTGCCGCCACCCATAAGGTCCAAAAGAATCCAATCCAACCTAAAATCGAAAAAAATAAATAAAATGTTCATGTCAGTAATTTTTTTGTCTCGACTATGTTGTTTGTATGTATAATGATACGAGAAATGTTCATATGAGTGGGAAAAAGAAAAACAAACACAGAATAATTATCTGAACAACGTATTTTAGATGTGAGTGAAAGAAAGATATACGACTTTATATTGCATGAATTAATTAACGCCTAAACTCGAGAAGAACACACTAAAACGGGTAAAAGAGGCTGCAAAGACATGTACATGGAAATGGGAATTTTCCGGAAGTAGAATATGCCATCAATTTTCGAGTAATTACTTGTGAAAAATTAACGGTTATAGGCCACTAATAAAGGCAATTATTTTTTTTTAAATAAAAATTCAGTACCTGTAGCTATAAGAACAGCAATAACTGCTGAAATTGTAGCAGTGGAAATGGCAAATACAGCTACAGATAAAGCCCCAATATAAATAGCTGCAACACATGTAAAGAATAGAGCCAAGAATCCACCAGCCGCTGCTAAAGAAACGAGAAGAGAAATGACTACGGCATTGAATGTTGCCGCTACAAAGAAAAGCATAAACACTAGCAATCCTGTCAACGAGAGTAGAGCGATAGTCCCCGCCTGCGTCAATAATTAAGTATTCAGACAATAAATATTATTAAAAAAAGAAAAAAAAAAGTACATCGAAGAAAAACTATGGTATAATTTCAAGAATAAAGGCTAAATGGTAGATTATTGCTACATGAAATATGAAACGGAGAAATCAAGTTGATACAAGAGAACTGACAAATAAATACATGCACGTACAAGCAAATCGAACGTCCCAAACCTTCGTTCGACTAATCGCCAGCTCATAATATTCCTTAGTATGAACGAAAAATTAACTCCACCTTAATCTTATCTACACTTTGTCTCTTGGCAAGTAACAATAACGAGCACGTTACTCAAGAGATAATTAGTTGCGAAAGTTATCACTCAAAATTTTTCGTTATCAATTGTGAATTACACAAATAGACAGCCACATAAGCATTAGACAGTTGTTTTATACTCGCCTTTGCAGCTCTCTTAATATAGTTAAATATTAATGCCAATTTCCATATTCATGTTTCTAATTCACGCTTAAATACTAACATACACAAAATTACCTCTTCTTTAAGATTCATCATGAATCGTCTTCTACTACAAGGTTAAGAGATAAATAAACCAACTTGCATTCATACATAAAAAGTCGAAAATGTTTCTTTCAACAACAACATTCGAATTTTCTTAAAAAAATGTCGAGTCAAAAGAGGTATTGTACTCCACACTCCTCATTAATATTTTACCGTCTAGCTTTCGTCGACATAGTTATTGTTGCAGAAGAACATCAATTCAAACACCAATGCCATAAATAAAAGTATTCCCAAAATACATTCTTAAATTGGTGAGAATACATCACACAACAAAAATATCCTTTCACTATTTTTGTTTTGTCATTAATATATTTATTATACTAATTTTTCACTCTTAGGATCATAATCATAGAACATCTAAATATCAGAAAAACCTCCCCCAAAAAATTAAAAAAATAATAAATAAATTAAATATTCAGAGAAAACGAAGACGAAATTGAAAGGAAAATTAATTATCCATGGCGAGTAAAATAAAAAATCAAAAACTCACGGAAACAACGAACAAGGCGCGAAAAGTGCCGCCGCGGCGGGTCCAGTCGAGAATACGTTGACCGGTGTTCACCGACGCCTCGCGAAGCAGAGGAATATTGACGGCGAGCGACGATTTAATCCTCTGCGCAAGAGGAGCCGGCGAATCGGAGTCCGGCGAGAAAACGGCGGCGATCAAACGGTTGAAAATGGTGAAAAGCGTCAACTCATCATGCGTCTCTTCTTCACCGTCGCTGACATCATCGACGACCAAGGCTCCGTGGGGCTTCTTCGCATCATCGTCCGCCATTTTTTTGTTTTTGTATTTTTATCTCTCACTCTGGAGTGTGTGAAAGTGTGTGAGAGAGAAGTGGGCTTTTGCTGAAGAAGATCTGAGTGAAGAAAAAATCTAAGCACTGATTGGTAACGTCGGTAGCTGAATTTGATTTGGTAGATTGAAAAAAATTGGGAGTATTGGGGACAAACGGTGAAAGGGAAATGGGATAAATCTGTTTTGACACGTGGACGGGCATGGTGGCAGCCAGCTGGCACCCCTCCACATTTTTACTATATTAAAACTCTACTTTCTTTAATTTTTAGGTATTATTAAACTTAAATAATTCTATCCTCTTTAAAAATAGAAATTACAGTCAAACCCCTGAGGTAAGTTCATATTACGAAAATCCCCTTCCTGTTTAAGTAATTACAACAACGCCTCAACTATAAATCTTTTTGCAAATGAACACCCTTATGGTGTCAAATTTAGTGGAATCTTCTAGAATATATAGAATATTCTCAAGTTTGTACCCGTTTTATTCCATTTGAGCTCCACATTTTGAAGCGAGTTCATCATAAGACGTGTTTTTTGACTCGTATATATGCTGCATAAAAACTGCCTTTTTACACAAAATGAGTATAAACTATAGAACATTCCACGAAATCTTGAAGATTATGTTAAATTATATATACCATAAGGATGAACGTATAAGAAAATTCATAATTGATAGAGGCAGTTGTAATTAACTAATTATCAAAGCATAAGGGATTTTTTTTTCATAATTTGATTTTACTTCAATTGTGGTTTTAATTTACCCTTCAAAATAACTTCAGTGAACGAGTAACAGTTCAGAATTCTCAATTTCTCATGCACTAGCAAAGTTCTTCGTCAACTAGTGTTATTTGTATAAAAATAAACATTCACAAATATATCAAATAATAAATTTAATAAATATTTTAATTATTTATTTATTTCGAGTTAACCATATTGAACTCAAACACGGGTAGTAGAACCTCTCGAGTTTAATAAAATGATTCAAATTAGACCCTATTCACAATTAACTAGGCTTGATTAAAATAAGGGTAATGATATACGCAGGCCAAATTAAACATTCAGGCACTTTTTTACCATGATTTTTTACCTTCTTACCATAACTATTTACCTTTTGTACTATTCCTACCAAATCCTATAAAATATAAAACTCAACATTCAAAGTGAAAAATTTCAGATATTCAACAATTTTTGCGATGGATCCAAACAACCTAGACCCGAATGTAAGTTTTTCGTTTTTTTCCCACAATATTATATGCTCGTGTGAATTTACGCGAGCACTTGGCAAGTGCTCGTGTAAATTCACACGAGTAGATGAATTTTATTTTTTATTCTTTTTTAATTCGCTCGTGTGATTTCACACGAGCAGAGAAGGTTTGCTCGTGTGAAATCACACGAGCAGAACTTCTCTGTTCGTGTGAAATCACACGAGCAAGGCAAATTTTTTTTTTTTTTTTTTTTTTTTTGAGTTTTATTCTTTAGTTTTATAATTTGCTAACTACATTAATATAAAACAGGAAGTATACATAGATGTGGATGAAGATATTGAAACATTTGAGCTACATGATTTCAGTGAATTTTTCACAATTTCGACTGCATTTGATAGTAAAGATGCACTAGTCGAGTGAGCGATGAATATGGCCATCAGTCAAGGACATGAGATTAGGCGACAGTCTTACCACGAGGGCCGACAATATTTGACTTGAAAAAGAGCCTATAAGAGTCGAGGAAAAAATGCAGAGGTCAAAACAAGCCGGAAGTCCGGTACAATAAAGTGTAAATGCCCTTTTGCGCTATGGGGTAAAGAGGGTCGTGATGGATTATGGCGCCTTACCATCAAAAATGGAAATCACAATCATAATCCTCATAAATATCCACAAGGACTACGTTCGCTAAGTCGCCTGACTGAAGAGCAACGAGAAGTGACAAAGATACTGAAAAAGAGCCATGTGAAGCCGAAAGAAATTTTGCATCATCTGAGACAGATGAATCCGGATACGGCTGCGGCCTTGAGAGATGTGTACAATGAATCACAGAAAATTAGACGAGAGGAAATGAAAGGAAAAACAGTTATACAACATCTGTGGCACGAACTAAGTGAGAGTGGATACAGCAAATGGCATCGAACAAATCCAGCTGGTGATGCAGTGCAAGACGTTATGTTTGCGCACCCTAATTCAATAAAGCTTTTGCAGTTATTTCCATACGTCATCTTGATGGATTGCACGTACAAGACTAACAGGTAATAATTATTTAAATGTGAATTACATTTATTATATTATATTATATTATATATAAGAGTTGACTAAATTATAATTACCTTCATGTAGATATGAAATGCCTCTTTTGGAGATCATTGGGGTTACTCCCGTGGGAAGGAACTTTACTATTGCCGTTTCTTTTATGTCACGTGAAGATGAGGACACTTATGCATGGACATTGCGATGTTTGCGAGACATATTACCAATCGGGATAGAACCATAAGTGATACTGACAGATCGTGAGTTGGGCCTACTGAAAGCATTGCCAAACGTGTTTCCACATTCGCATCACATGTTATGTTTATATCACATAAACAGAAACGTTGAGGCAAACGCGTCAAAATTCTTGGGTAACACCAAGTTGGGTGTACTGTTCCGGAGGACGGTGTGGGCAAAGTTAGTCGAATCTGAGACTGAGGAAGAATACGAATGCAACTATAGAGAGATAGTTAGTTTGTACGGGCAATATCCGAAGTTGATAACTTACCAATGAAACGTGGTTGATTTATAAGGAGAGATTTGTTAAGTGTTGGACCAACAACATCGTTCATTTCGGTAACACGACGACTAACAGGTATATAAATTGATTTTACTATAAACTCGTTACGTACAATCTTTTATACACATGTTACATTTATTGATTATTTGAGTGTTTTCTCGAAACAGGGTAGAGAGTGCACATCGTGCATCGAAGCGTTGGATCCAAACATCGACTGGAGCTATGGATACAGTTCAAAATGCACTAGATGCGCAAGTTGACCTTCAAATTAATGAATTGAAGGTGGAAAACGAAAGCAGTAGAACAGTCAGGATGTACAGTACTTCACTGTCGTGCTTCGGTGCTTTGGTATGTAACGTATCACACAAAGCACTGGACCTGTTGGATAAAGAGTACGAAAAGTTGGAAAAGAATCCGGATAGTTGCAACTGTTACCTAAGGCGAACCCACGGACTCCCGTGTGCGTGTATGATTGCATTTAAAATTGCTGAGGGAGATACTTTTTATCCGCAACAGTTACATCCATTCTGGAGAACGTTGGTTGTCGAGCCGAACTCGGATCCATGGGAGGACGAGGAGGAACCGTTTGATCGCACAGTTGCAATTAAGAAAGTTCTTCTCGATGAGTTCGAGAAGTTATCAAACAAAGATTACATGTCCCTAAAAAATGCGGCCGACTATTTACGGGACCTTAATAATCCTTCTTCAACGCATTTACAAGAGCCGTCATTTGTGAAGGCTAAGGGACGACCTAAGAATAACTCGATGAAGAGGAACTTGTCCGGACATGAGCACATGATGAATCGGAAGTCCGAAGTTAAATCTTCTTCGGGCTCTAAGGGTCGCAAAACCCTGACCGAAAGGACCCCACAGTCAAAATTTGAAGCTGGTACGCCTGAGTCAAAGGTTAAAGGTTGTCCTCGCGGACGTACTAAATCGACTGAAGAATCAGTTGTTACTGCCGGGGACCGGGTCAATTTCTTTTCCTTCCTTCCTCCGTTTCTCGCACAGTCCGTAGCCTCATATGTTAATGTGAGGGCCGATGAAAATTGTGGCTACCGGTGCATAGCCGAAGTTGTTTACGGCAGTCAAGAGAGATGGCCACAAGTCAGAACTGACTTGGTTGAGGAGTTTATGGAGCGTTCAATCTATATGCTACTATTTTTGGTGGGGATGAGGGGGGTCGAAATACAGTCGCTGATTATATCTTGACATGCAGTCATGAGAGGGGACCGGCGCCACGGACGAAATGGATGTCAACAGATATGGGGTTGGCGATCGCTACAAGATACAACGCAATGGTATTAATATTCACTGAACGGGGTAGTATCACTTACCTACCACTAGTTGGGAACCCCGCTTTATCACGTATTATTCCTATGTCGCTACATAACGATCATTTTATGATCATACGAGTACCGGTTTCATGCCCTCTTCCTCGTCTCCATCCTCAGTGGAGGTATTTTGCAGCTCCCAATTTACTACCTCTACGAGATTTTTACGCGGATCGACTTGCTTTTTGGACGACGTTGACTTCTAGGCATAGGTAGTACTGTATTATTGTAATTTTGTTTACGTTGTTATCGGACTTACTTATTTAGTTATTTGTACGGATTATAATTATGTTGTATCGAACGAAATTATATTTTAATTTGTATTATTAACGAATTAAAATAAGAAAAAAAAAAATTATAGCTCTGCTCGTGCGTTTTCACACGCACAGAGGCGTTTTGCACGTGTGTTTTCACACGAGCAGAACACCTCTGTTCGTGTGAAAACACACGAGCAGAGCTATAATTTTTTTTTTTTTTTTTTTTTTTTAATTCGTTAATAATACAAATTAAAATATAATTTCGTTCGATACAACATAATTATAATCCGTACAAATAACTAAATAAGTAAGTCCGATAACAACGTAATTAAAATACGGGCAAATAAGAAAAAACCGCAAATCCAAAATGAAACATCCGTACAAAAAACTAAATCCGAAAACAAACAACAAATCACAACACACGAATACCAATTGTCAGGTGCAAAAAATCCGAAGCTAATACACAAATAGGTAACATGTCCTACTGTCCACCCCTCGACCCCCGACCCCGAGTCCTCGGACCTCCCCCGCGACCCCTCCTAGGTAAGAGACGCAAATAGTGGGCATGTGGCGTCAACAAGTCCCTCAACTGCGGCTGAATGCTCAGGAATGCCTCTGTTGCGTCGTCACCAGTCAAACCGAACACGATCGGAACTAGGAACCGAGCTATGTCGTTGGCGAACGGCTGGTCTGGCGGCATCGCAGCAACAACCCGTTCTGCAGGCGGAACTCTATCAGGGTTGCTAATGAGCCGGTGCGTCCGCTCGATGTACCACTTCATGTACTCCTCGGCAACTGTTTCCGGCGGCCAGGCTTCAGGGTATTGCGACAGGTCAATGAAGTTGGCGTACTCGTTCTGCCACATGCCGCCAGGAGCGTGGAAAGTGACTTTGTATCCCGCGCCAAACAAGCCGCGGTTATGTGGCAAGTTCGATTCAATTATCGGGAATGGAATAGTCTGGACTCTTCCAAACTGCCGCAACGCTCGGTCGGGCATGTACGGCTCCACTATATCCATGAACTGTATCGTGCCATAATACATGCTCCGAGGATGTAAGTAATGTGCACCGGTACCATACGGGGTCCAACAAACCTAAGCATATTTTAAACTAATTAGAAAAATCCGTAACTCTACTATAGACATAATTAGAAAAACTAAAATTATTACTCACATCTCTTTCGGTAATGGCGTCGAGTATTTTCCGGTATTCCTGCAGCGTGGTTTTATTGCCTCCACCATGGGCCCACCTTCTGCATCGAGGCTCAAACTCGGCATATGAACAGGAAAGAGGTGGTCGAAAGCAGGGGAAATGCTCAAAGATCCAGCACTGCAAACAAACACCAATAAATAAATAAATAAAATAGAAGTTTAAATAAATAAATAATTACTAATAAAGGTACACGTACCAGAAGGAGAATAACACATCCACAGAGACTGTTCATCCCAGCGCGGGTGGCAATACCCAATTGGCGGTACATGTTTGCTAAGCATGCCGAAGCCCACGAATACTTGCCGACATTATCGAGATCGTTGGTAAAATGGATCCACCACGACTTCATGTTACACGCTGTTTTGTCTACAAACAAAACAGACCCAAGCAGAAACATCAAGTAGCCCTTCATCTTCTTCTCGTCTGTGGCGGAGGGAAGGGTCAACTGATCTCTCACCTTAACCCAACCAACTCCCTTGTTTCGAAACATCTCATTGGTGTCCATCAGACCGAGACCCAATACAGATGCAAGACTCTGTGAGCACTCTTCTACCGGGCGAATTTCAGACACTGCTGGTCCGTCCAGCCGCAACCCCAGGATGAAAGCGACATCGTGGAGCGTGATCGTCATCTCGCCCCATGGCATGTGGAAACTGTTCGTCTCCGGCCGCCACCTCTCCACGAAAGCTAGCATGAGGTTCTTGTTCATCTTCTTCAGAAAACAGTCTCGTAAGTGGTAAAAATCTGTTGCCTCCAGCCTCGCAATCATCGTGTTATCCTGCGGGCCGCGGTAGTCCTCGAGTGCTTTGGTCCTCGACTCGCACCGTGTAGTTTCACGGCGCTCCTGAAAAATATTGCATGTATTGTTAGCTAAAAAAAATGAATAATATAAGAATTATGTAAAGCACGTGTTGACAGAAAAATTTACATATCCTTCCCAAATGTACATCGCTATATGCGACTTGAACCATCGCATAAACTCTAAATTTTGCGGCCCTCCCTCGCACGGACCCTCCAAGTACGCCGGACCAGGCAGCTGCGGAAAGGGTAAGGCACGACCAGCTCTACGATCCTGATGTACATCTGCTGGCTCATCATCTTCCTCCACCTCCTCGTCAGTATCCATATTATCTGGATTGTTGTTGTGGTCATCATCGTCGTCGGCATGTGGCAATGTACTACGAGCTAGCTGGAGATCGCGTGTAGGTCGACAGGGTCCGGCTCCAGCTGCAACAGCTTCTCGTCTCAATCTCTCTTCTTCCGGCTGTAACGCTGCTTCTCGAGCTAACTGCTTTCTTCTACTGGCGGAAGCAAGGACATCTCGGTCTCCAATGCAATCCGGATCTTCCGGATTGTCACCCTTTCCGCTCAAGGCTTTCATTAAGCTCTTGCCTTTACCGGCAACTTGACTCATAAGACTTTTCCCCCGGCCTCCTGCCATCTACATTTTTAATAAGCACTTTATTAATATTTCATTTAATAAAAAAAAGCATTTAAATAATGAAACGAAAAAAAAAAAAAATTGGTTCTGCTCGCGCAAAAACACACGAGCATTTCAACAGTGCTCGTGTGAAATCAGGCGAGCACTGTTGAAATGCTCGTGCATTTTTGCGCGAGCAGAATAAATGCAGTTATTTAATTTATTAAAAAAAATAATAATAAATAACATTTTAAAAAAAAATAATAATAAATAACATTTTAAATTGCTCGCGGGGATTTACACGAGCGTAGTGAATGCGCTCGTGTAAATCCAGCGAGCAACCCAAAAACCGGTTTTTTT